AACAGATATTTAACCGTAACAGTGATTTGGGTTCCAGCCAGTGAAATTAGGAGTGATCATAATGAACAGAAAAAGGATCTGTTTTCAGCCTGGATTTGAATCAACAGAGATTTTCTCCCGCAGTAGATTATTCCAGAACAGAAGAGCTCGGTGAGCAAAGGCTCGACGACCAACAGGGTTTTGGCAGGTTTTAACAGGTTGAATTTAAGACTTTTTAAGACCTTTTGGGAGCATTATGAATGCAATGTGAGACCTTTTTTACATCCATACTGGCAAAAAAAAGATCGATATTGGGTGAGGGTGGAAATGCAGAGAATAGAGTTATGGTTTATAATATGAGGCAGTGACTGCAGCAGTCTGAGGGAGGTGCAATAAGGAGCTGAAGGATGGAGAGGCACAGTACAGTCTCCACATGTCGAGATTAATAGAAAGTTGTAATGTTGGCTCCTGGCAACAGCAAAAAGAAAAATTATGTGGTTCTCGGTAGGAAAAAAGTAAAGGGAAAGTGGGGTTGGGAAAAACTTAATTTTCCCTGATGTCACAGTTGGGCATCCTTTCAGTCATTCAACAAGGTTTGAAAAGGGCACCAACTGAATAGAAATAGTCTTTTAAAACATTTCTCTGGGCTCTTACATAAAAATTTGACTTTTTCTGGGTGACAGGTGGTGATGCTGCAGTTAACCCTATGCAAATTAAGGTGCAAAAGATAAACAATCCTCACAGAAACTCTTACCTTTTGAAGAACTATTATATATATATATATATATATATATATATATATATATATATTACTATATAAGGATCATTCTCCTTCTCCTACACAAAAAAATTAAAATAAAAAATGTATGCATCCACACTTAAATCATTATAAAACCATACTCTACATTCTCTTTCTTTACAGAAAAATTACAACAACATACTGGTCGACCCTCAACACTATTACGACCAGAAACAATCAATTATGCTGAAAAAAGAGAAGAGATATCACATCAACGCGTTGTGTTTGTATTTGTTAAAAAGTGATAATATTCATGTAGGATGATGTCTCCCTATATATACAAATATGACGTGATTTATTGCGTACGCTCTATTAAAAAGTCCTATAATAGATTATTTTCTTTAAAATATCTTCACATAATTTATATATATTCACTCCTTACTATTATCTCTATCTATTCTCACTCTCATACCATTAACATACTTTCTTTCAAAAGTAAAGATTTTCTGTGATTGAAGTTATTGTATCTACTATCTTTTTTATAGAAACCTTGTTAAATCACCTTGCTCATACAATCAGTAGGTGTTCAACTGCAGCCATTCACCTTCACCATAGTCCCCATGTAAGACCAAAGTGCCAAAATTGTTATCATTATTGTCATTACAGCAGCGCTTTCTAAAAGAAAATTGATGATTTCAAAAAGACCAAAAAACAATAAACAAATTTTCCACACATTCAAATACTCTCCACTTCCTCCTTTCCTCATTCAACTCCACCAAAACTAGCCTTGGTGACCGCTTTCTCAATCCACCCCCTATTCAGGATTGAACTCCGACTGAAAGACGACTGCCCTTCACACTGAGTACGCATTAAACACACATTTCACAGACAGATACAGAAGGATAAATTAATGTTATATATAAACCATTTACTTGCAGCCAACCCCTCTTATCAAACAAAATACAATTTCCTAATTCTCCTTACTCATTCCCATTTTATCTTACATTATTTTTTTGTCTCCTACTTCTTTTTCTTTTTCTATTTTGAGATTTTTACTTCTTCTACATAATCATTATGTACGTTTTTGGCTGTTGCCTGGAGCTCAACATTACAACTCTCTCTCTACCTATTAAATTCTCGAACAATGATGGTTAGACTGTACTTATACAGAATTGTGCCACCTTCTCCATCCTCTACAGAATCTCCTCATTGAGCACTCCCTCAGACTGCTGCAACAGTAACCACCACCCTTTTGCCTCATATTATAAAAACAACGAATAGTTGTCCAACGTTCTATTCGGACACATCATGCATTGTATCCACCAGCCTGCACAAACAAAAACAGTCTGACTTTCTAAGCCCAGAACCCCTCAGAATATTCCTTCTTCTTTGTATTCTCTCATCTTTTTTTTCTTGCCAGTATGGATGCCTCCAAAAAGGTCTCACGAATTGCAGCAATTTTTTAAGCCTTCATATTTACTAGTTGTCTTTCCCCCTACCAGGACAGACGTCTTAAATAACGCTCTTTTTACATTATTTTCTATATTCTTTCCTTCTGACAAACTTTCTTTTATTATAGGTCTCTGCCGTATAGTGATATCTCCTGTGTTGGTTTTCGTCGAGTTCCTCATTTTAATTCTCACCGAGCTCTTCTGTTCTGGAATAATCTACTGCGGGAGAAAATCTCCCAGCGCCCGCAAATTACAACTCCCACAAAAAAAAGAGAAAGAATGACAACACACGTAAAGACGTAAACGCTCCATCCAAAATGGTTTTCAATGTCAGCCTAATATCTACCTGTCTGAAGTCCCATACATTGACAAAATGTCTGGTCCTACACAATACACAAAGCTAATATACAATGAACTTCGCTCATCAACCAATTCCTGCAGAACCCAAAATAGCTCCACCCCGCACTTTCTAACAACTCCGTGCACTTTCCGCTGTCAGAGGTTGAGCAAACACCAGACGTCACGACTATCAGCAGAGGTCTCCTTATTTGCCCTATCCTGCTGCCCATGTTCTGACCGACTGCTGCTGCGTGGCCACTGTGGCGAAACCAAATCTATTGTCTTATGTGATAGACCAGATTGTCCCAAAGATTGTCACCAATACTTGTGTAGTCGTAACAACCCATTTTAACCTACCAAATGTCGCCTGAACTCAAACGATGAAAACGCGAGGTGTCGTTT